AAAGAACCCGAGGTCATCATGGTATTATTACAGTAATTTGAAAAAATGCCGTGGAAACTGCCAAAATTGCCGTAGACAGCTGTTACATTCTAAGGCAATTTTTAACGCCATTGCCGTCGATTGATTTCAGGGAAATTCAAGGCCTGTTTAGGGCTATAAAGTATGCCTATTTTCGGCATACCTTAATATAGCCACGGTTTGTGGCCATTAAGTACGTTGATTTTTCTTGATCAGCTCATCCCTAGTTGCTTCCTAATAATACAAACCTCGGGTTCTCTTGCGTTTCCACCGTCATCTTCACCCAATACTTTCTCTTCATTCTTACAAACACATGCATCGACCAACCATCCAGTGATTGAGGTCACTCCCATTTGAAAATCAAAGAACGAGCTCCCTTTAGTAATCATCTCTTGTGCAACACCGGACGCCTCGAGAGTCAGGATTGGTTTAAAAAGAAACCTTTGAGCACCCAGAAAATTCCCTTCACTGATTGGCTCGGTTATCTTGAAACTCAAAGTAGCCTGGGAAATATAGACTCCGAATATTGAGACGAGAGGAATTAGTGACGCATCTGGTGTCTTTTGGTCAGCGGCTAAACCTGGGACCATAGAATATGCCCATGATAACCATCCGGTTTCTGAGAGCTCAGTGTCATTTTCAACACCAAATGTGCTTGGTAATTGACTGATAATACTAGAGTTTAAATTTTGGCCTTTCTTGTCGATTATTTCTTTTGCATAATGAGGCAACGGCTCGCAGCCTGGAAGATCCAGGGTACCGTAATACAGACTCAGCCCTAATTTAAGCAACCTTAAAAGCAGCGGCAACTGTTGGTCCGTTATAGAAACTTCCAAACATTCACAATAAACACTTAAATTCTTCTCCAGCGGCAAATGAAAGCCTTCTTTATCGTAATAAACTTGCACTCTGCAAGATAAGTTACATTTGTATGCCAACGGGTCCTGATACATTTCTATAATCCCGCTAGCGTTTCGTCTATCTAAGCACACGGTCAGGTCAGATATATTACACATTTTATGAAGTATCCAATTTGGAGCAGCTACGTCTACAAAGGCTTTAACCCAATTTTCGTTTGCGCTGTGAAATTCGGCTGATTTTACATTAATGGACAAAACAATATCGTCTTCAACATATTTTAGTATAAAGTTGTTGACTTTCACTGTCAAATTATAAATAACTTTATTTAACAAACTTTGAACATATCCAGGGGGAAGGGTCTTTTCGTTTTCAGTTTGCGGGGCAGTTGTGTCCGAAGTTGGTTTGATGTCGGCCTGTTGGATTTCGGTGGCTTCTTCAACGCCCTCGGCAGTAAAGTTGTTTTCTTGCAGTTTTAGGATGCATTCGATGGTGTTGATTGTAATGACGGCTGGTTCGTAGTAGAGTTTGGTCCATGGTACGTGTATGTGTAGTTCGTGGATTTTCCCGCTCAGGAACGTGACAGGAAAATTGAGTTCCTGGGAATGAAATAAAGTTTATGAGACATGTAACAATGCACAGGAATGGCAACAGATAATACCAATGACCGATACTGTTTCACTTTGAAATTCACCAGGGCTCGAAATTCCCGCTATTTCGAATATACAGTACTAAAATGCCTGACGGAATAGCAAACTTCATGATCACAGTATTCCGTTTGTATAGTACAAAATGTGGTACCAAATATCGACAAGCAAGAGTTTTCCTCTTGTATAATATATCACTTTATACCGGACATTGAGCCACTGTTCCACTTCGTAATACTCGGTTCGCTTGCAATACTTGCATATTCTAATTTCTTTGCACCAATATTATTGTTGATTTCAAATTACTTTTCAACGCGCGGTTCCCAAGGTTGTTGCGAACTTGCCAATTACGGAATTGGGTTGCGAACTTCGCAACAAAGTTCGCAAGTTCATTTCGGTGTTTGAACTTTGTTTTTTTAATAATAAATTGTTCAAGCCCTGTACATGTTTATTTTTTGTTATTCAATTATTCTGTTTACTTTAGGAGTCTCAATGATGATTTCACGAAAATCAGAACATTAGCGCGGACCCTGCATGAACAGGCTCTCAGAAACAGTACATTAAGGAATAGTGGATTTTCAGACGGAATAGTAAATATAAAAATCTACTATAATTCCGGCTGTATAGTACAAAAAAATTTTAATTTCGACCCCTGTTCACTAGGCCTTAAAGTGCCTATGCAACGAAATTTTTACCTCATTTTTTATTTTTTTTAAAAGTACTGTTGGAATGATGAAGAATGACGTTTACAGTTTCTTCATATCTCATCTCATTCTCAAGTGATCACACTTTCTATATTTTGAGTTGTGACGTCACAAGTTTGACTTGAGGTTTAGGCAATAACAAGAAAGTCTGATATCTTGGTGAGTATTTAATAAAATTCAATGAAACTTGGTACACTTAGTGGGTGCACCCGTATGAATATTCTTGGCAGGTCATATGGTCGTCATGGCAACACACTAGTCCCCAGTCTCTTCTCTTCCTTTTCACAAATTTCCACCTGTAGACCTCTTGCAGAGGATGTTTTCATTTTATAATGGTTCAAACTGATTACAATACCTACACATATTATAGTAATAAGCGAAAATTGCAGAAATTGCTATTTATTTCGTTGGAAATGGATCATATAGAAATTGGAAGAGAAGGGACTGGGCAGGAGTGTGTTGTCATAACAACCATATAAACAAGCCAAACTATTGACTTTGTTGCACCCACTAAGTGTGCCAAGTTTCATTGAATTTTATTAAACGGTCACCAAGATATCATACTTTCTTGTTATTTCCATTATCTTGAGTCATACTTGTGACGTCACAACTCAAAATATAGAAAGTGCAATAACTTGGGAATGAGATAAGATACAAATAAACTGTAAAAATCATTTTTCATCATTCCAGCAGTACTTTTTAGAAAAACAATAAAAAATAAGGTAAAAATTTTGTTGCATAGGCACTTTAAAATATCTTTTACAGGGTCGTCTGACAAAATGTTTTATGACTTCAAGTCGGACATATATACTTAATATGCATGATGATGTCCGATGACGTTCAGTTCAGTTTGGGTTGGAAATAAGTCTGAATGACACAAATTAATATCAGCACAATAGTAATTCTGAACAGTAAGTGTTGTGAAGATATTTAATCATTTGTGTCATTCATATTTATTTCCAAGCCAAAATTAACTTGCTTGCAAATGAAAGCAGTAAGACTTTGACAACTCAAACCCGTTTTCCACTTCACCATTTTGCTTGCCACCCCGCACTTGATTACATTCAAACAATACACGTAAAACACACAAGCTGTTACAAATCTGCAAACAAGTTGTCTGCAGACTTAATTAATCTGTTCACAAGCTGTTGACAAGTTGTGTCCCAACTGCTTGTTTCCAGTTGTTGTAACAAGTTTGGAACAAGCTGTTAACAACTTGTAACAAGCTTGATGGAATTATCAGACTTGTTACAAGGTTGTTCTGACAAGTCTAATACAGTCATGATATAACAAGAATAGACAGATTTAGATTGAGGACGTGGATGTCAAAGACGACGTGAAAATAGCGTGTTGTACCCATGTGTATGGATATGCCACACCATTTTGGCGTCATCTTTGACGACCGCGATCTAAATCTGTCTAATGTTACAAGGTTGACGACATATGGTTGTAACAATATTGGGTTGTTCCAGAAAAGACCCATACTCCCCCCCACAGAGGAAATTTCTGCCACCTGGAGGGGGAGGGGAGAAAAAATTGTTTATGATAATTTATTTAGTAAATGTATTAGGACATCCGAAGGGGGTTAACTTCCTATTTCCTCCGTGGGGGTGGTATGGATGTTTTCTGGAATGACCCATTGTTATATCATGACTGTATTGGACTTGTTCGAACAACCTTGCTACAAATCTGATAATATCAACAAGCTTGTTACAAGGCTTTTCTAACAGGTCTGATACAGTCATGATATAACAAGAATGTTAAAAGGTTGAGCACACAAGGTTGTAACAATTAAACAATTTTGTTACATGATGACTGTATCGGACTTGTTGGAACAACCTTGCAACGAACCCGATAATATCAACAAGGTTGTTACAGGTTGTTAACAGCTTGTTACAAAATTGTTGGAAGCAGTGCGAATACAACTTGTTGACAGCATGTTGGCACACTTGCCACAACTCCACAAGATGTGAGATTTTTACGCGTGTATAAAAACGACCATTAATAGTGTCTAGTTAGTTACTTTATAGTGACGAGTCTGCTGTCTGGTGAGCTCATCAATTGTTTGTTTGACTTGCCATGAAGCTACATATCTTTCACCTACACTGACCCACAGCCATCACCTACCTTCTCAAGTGCGTGAAGATTTAGTTCCAAATTCGTCAGTGACACGTCGCCTCCCCAGAGAGATAAATTCAAGTCACTTGGTTTCAAATTCTTTATGTATTTATCCACATAACTCATAAGAATTGGAGTTATATAGGACTCCAACATGACTGAGCGTGTCCTCACTTTCTACTACTGCCTAAAAACATTGTGATTCATTATCTGGGAAATGAATTTTGTCGCCAAAACGGTAAAAGTTGGCGATTTCTTTGATATTCAGTCCGCCATTGTTGTTTTGGCCGTGAGGTACACGTTACAGGACTGGGTCGAGTTGCCAACGCGGCAAAACTTGCGGGCAAATCGCATCCTCGTCCCCAGGCCCAAGCTCGGGCGGCCCTCACAGTGGCCCTGGGTCAGGCTGTTGATCTGCCTCGGAATTCCGACGCAGAGGCTTGGTCGCACAGGATATGCCTTTCTCCCTAAAAACATGGCGACCGCAATGAATGCAAAGAAGGCTTACTACAAGAAGCAATATATTTTGCACTTGTAAAAACAAATAATACTCAAATTAAGTAAAAGGAAGAGCAGAAAGAAGCTGTTCGTCAAATAGTGAATGGAAGGGATGTTAAATCGTTGATATACCAAC